ATATTCATAGGGTGACAGGGGAAAGAGACAAGAACAAATTGACACAAAGCTGTTATGATGTCAAGGTTACATCTCATCATTGCCAAAAGATTCATTAGATTTCACACTTAAAAATCCAAGGATTTTTATTTTTATTCTTTCCAATGTGCTAGAACTTGGACAGAACTCACACTAAGCAGGTCATGATTCTGTCCATTTGTCAGCACAATTAGTCCTTGAATTGAATACAACAGGAGTAAATGTGGTCTGGCAGAGGAAGGTAGCAAAGAAAGATAGATTTTGAAAATCAGTCATGAGCTGGAGAGAAAAAGAAAAATTCTCCAAAGCATCACAACAGGAGAAATATGGGTAATATACATTTTAAGCTCTCTTCTCTGGTTATGTAATGTAGAGCAGAGTGTATTTGTTTTATTTATATCCTGCCTTTATGATTTTTATAAACAGCTCAATGCAGTGAACATATCTAATACTCCTTCTTTCTGTTTTTCTCAAACAACCCCGTGAGGTGGGTTGGGCAGGGAAAGAGTATTTTTGTTAAATAGTTTGCAAAAATAAATATATTTTCACTTAATATTTTACTTTCTATAATTTTCCAAAATGTATAGTAGCCAACTACATCTTAGCTTAAAATGTTCTTTGTGTACAACCCATGTTAAATTACAGCTCTTTATTTCAGGTAAGCCTAGAAAATTGGTCTAATTCAGTAAAGCATGATTAAGTGAACAGCTTTTAAATATTATCTATCAAGTTTCCTGATCACAGAATCAATTACCATCACAAATAAATTTGACTTGATGTTACTTCCTCTTCATTTTTTAAAATACTAATAAAAAACTAAAATATGCTGAATATATTTTTTCCAAAATTTTTCCAAAACTTTTCCAATTCTCCAGTAACAATATTAGGAAATTATGTTCTCCCCCTTCAATTAAAACCATATACAACCCAGTGGGTTTTTAAATATCTGTCTCTACCTCAACCTCCCACTTTCAGAAAAGCCTTGTCCCAGGGCCTTGCCTTGACGGAGAAGCGGAAGGAGGGGGCGTGGTCTCTGCCATCTGCATTCCTTGCATACCTCAAGTCTTATAATAAGGGACTGTCAACTTTTAAAGTACATTGTGCCTTTAGCCCATAGGGTGTAACATAGAGGAAGAAGACAGGAAGAATTACTCTTGCTCGAGTCATTCTACCATATGTTTAAAACTGCTATTAAGACTAAGCAAAGCTGCAGAAAGAAACCGGATTTGATTTTTCATCTATGTACAGTATAGCACTATAGCTGTGGTCACACATCTGAAGCACAAAAAAAGTCAACCATATTCTAGCATAGAGAGTTTTGTGAACCCAGTCTATCAATTTATGTACAGTGAGTTGTGCGAACGTATAAAATTAGAATAATTTGAGTAGACTCTGGTTAACAGCAAGTAAGCATAACACCCAACTAGAGCCAATGCCAGTTACTGTTAACAGATGTTAGAGGGCCCTTAGAAAATTTCAGATGGGAGTTCTAGTTCCTGTTGATATATTTTTTCCAACACAGAATTTGCACTTCCATATAGTATCTGTGGTTTGTATAGATCGGTGTTTTTCAACCTTAGCACTATTATCTATGGACTTCAACTCCCAACCAACATGCTTTAAATTCTGAGGTTGAGAAACACTGGGTTATATGAAAGAAGAAATATTTACCAATTATGCAGTGGCATTCAAATTGGGCTGCATCCATTTTTTTCTATTATTATTTAGGAAACATGGTTTTAAACTGTCATTGTCTCTCTACTGGGTACAAAAAGATGGTGTAGTTAAGGCAGCCACATGGAGGCATTTTCTGCATCTGTATTGGTGGCTGGAAAGAAGGAGTACTCTCAATGTCATTACAGGATTCAGACAAAATAAGAAGCCCTAATAAAATAAAGATAAGCTAAAGGCATGTTGAGTAGGCCAATATTATGTGGTTTGGTTAAGGTTTCATCCTTGCCTAATGAGGTGCGTTTATAAAGGTAACATGATGTCACTGACAAGTTTCCTAAGTCTTTGTAGTGGCTTACCATGTCATGTGAACACAGCCGAAATGAACTAACTTTACCAGTTAGGCCTCTGGGATTTATACCATAGGAATATTTGCTGAGCGTCCAAATTCTAATCCAAAATATTAAGACTGGAACAATATCACCAGTGTTAGAAACAATGTAGTATCTTAAAAGATTAACAAGCTTCTTATCCTTAAAGCAACCTAATCCTCAAAGTTGTAAATCCTTAATATGTGAGCCTTTGTTAAAAGTTAAAGATAATACTCTGAATGTGCTATCTATATGCATAGTGTACTGAATCCCAAATGAGCCTATCATATTTTCAACTAGGTTACTTTGAAAACCAACCCAATGTGGTTAGTTTAAAATGACCTACGCAGATTTGGAAAATTGAATTGATAAATACATTTAGCTGTGGTGTACTCAGTATTTGCTGAGTGTGGATTATTACTAAAATAACCCACATTCTAAGAAACTGATTAAGTCTGATAGGTGAAAATATGAATCAAGTCAATATTTGAAAGTCCATAAATTTAGGCCTCTTCTAAAGAAAAATAAGATGTTTGGGGAGCCCCATGTGACTCCTGAATTTCAAGATACATCTATTTCAAAACATTTGTTCTGCTTCTATTTGTTCTGTTTTATTCTATTTAATAAAAATAAAATATTTTCCTAGGGAATGATCATATGTGCTATTATGCAGAGCCAAGTTTTATGTTGCCTGTGAAAGAAGTCTGGTTCTATGCCTTAGTAATTCACATGTGGTTTTTTGCTCACCACATAATCTACTTTTCTTCAAGATTTTAGCTTTTACTCCAGCCATTGCCCAGATCAAGGACTAAAAAAACCAAACAAATTATACAATACAGCGGAAAAAGGAAACCACAGTAGAAACACTTGGAAGCCTTTGATATGCCAGGGTTTGGGGGAAGGGGGGTATAACAAAAAGAAATACATTTGTATCTGTTTATTAGGAAGAAATCTAATTAATTTTGTTATGGTTCAGTCTCGTGTGATGCAAATGTTATGTGAACACAATTAGTGAAAAACTTGATTTTACTTTCAGCTAAATACTGGAAGAGGTAAAGTTTAGAATCATGATTGATCAGTAGTAGAACGGATCTCAACATATGAATTTAGAGATTTACGATATTTGCAATTATAGTGATCAACCCCAATGCAGAAAGCAAATTAGGGAGGCAGAATTCTAGGGAAAATAAGGGTGTGTCCACATTTAAAAATAGTAGGATTTGACATAGTGTAAGAAAAATCAGACTTTTATATTAAGTCGGTTTTAGTATTTGTTACAAATGAATGGAGATATGTGAAATAAGGAGATATTGAAGATGATTAAAGGGATTTTTTTCTCAAAGTTGTTGTTTACCCTCATCTCTATTAACCTATATAAATCTATAACAGGAGGCTTAATCTTCAAATAGCTTTTTTTCTATGCCCATGATCTATTCTAGAAGAGGAGCATGCAGAGAGGATATATGAAAATGATTTTTCAGCCCGAACAACTATACAGCCGGTCCTGCTAGCAAATGCAAAAAGACACGAGGAAACTACTTGTAGGCGGCCTTTGCCCAGAGCAGCAAATCCTACTAGAAGGGGAAGGAAGTTAGCAGGATGCCAGAAGTATTTAGTTCAAGAGAGAATTGGAAAAACAGGAAAAACAGCTAGAACACAGCAAATTCAGAACTGGGACCATTAAAAGCGCAAGCCATCGCCTCCCAACTTGGTGCCTTCCAAATTCTAATATTTGTTTTTACTTATGTTTTTAAATTTGTAGTTTTTGGGGATTAGTGTTTTATCTGGTTGTTAGCCGCCCTGAGTCCGCAAGGAGAAGGGCGGGATATAAATTAAATAAATAAATAAATAAATAAATGTACAAAGTTTACATTAAACCTCCCCAATCTGGCAGGAGACGATCGAATACAGCGTTACTAACGTCGTCCTTCCGAAGGGTATCAAACTGGGGGAAGACGATGCCGTCACATTTTGGTTGAATTAGAAACGTATCCTACGTTGACTTGAGAACGGTGGGACTGACTTTAGTATAAAGCTGCCTTAAGATGGGTTCAGAATCTATACGATCTCTAAAGGAAGCCGAATTCCGCGATCCTGCAGTGACGCAGCACTGGACGCCCACGGGAAAATGGGGGCGGGGGGATGCGTCGATTCTCCTATGCACGCAAAGCTCGTGTAAAATCCACTAGAATCCATCCCCCTATGGGCAGGGGTAGGCAACCTTGGCTCTTTTATGACTCGTGGACTTCAACTCCCAGAATTCCTGAGCCAGCACAGCTGGCTCAGGAATTCTGGGAGTTGAAGTCCACGAGTCATAAAAGAGCCAAGGTTGCCTACCCCTGCCCTATGGCGAAAATCTTGCAGGCGCATTTAAAAGGGTGGCTCCTTCCGGCATCCTAAAAAGCACCAGCAATAATAACCCGGGCCGTGTCACGCGCGACCCAAAGAGCAGGTAGGCGGCCACGCCCTCCGCGCGCCTCGCATTCCTCTCTCTCTCTGCCTCCTCCCCTTTTCCTGCTCATTCCAAGGGCAGCGGGGAAAACCCCTCCCCCTTTTCCCTCCTGCCTCGGCCAATAGGGAAGCGCCGTCGTTAACCCCTGGCGAGGCGGACTAGAGCGGAGCTGAGGCAAAAAAAAAAAAAAAACTCTGAGGAGAAAAGGAGGAGGAGGACGAGGCGGCGGCAGCGGCGGCGGCGGCGGCCGTGGCTAGCGTTGCCCTTTCTGGATACTGCGGCCGCTGTCATCCCCGCCCGTGCAGTGAGGACGGCAAGAAAAAGGGGAAAAAAACCCAGAAAACGAGGATACCGTTCCGAGAGGGGCAAATAGGACAACGGAGCCTGGCCACCGTCCTCGAAGCCAGCCTGTATTCCGGTCCCGAGAGCCAGAAGGAGCGGCAGCGCAGCCAGGCCTGGTCCGCGGTCGCCCTGCCCCCCCCTTTCTTTCCTTCGTTCCTCTGACCGGCGTCTTGATTAGCACGAGTGACAGCGCCGGAAATGATGCCGGTGAGCAGGATTGCGGTGGGGTAGAAAAGAGGGGTACAGTTTATCGGGGGGAGGAGAAGGAGGAGGAGGAGGAATCGTAGTGGGGATAGTCCCGGGTGTTGCGGCGAAAGGCCGGCCAGAGGTAGTCGCCGAAACAGCCTTCGTAACGATCCGGTATCTGGGATCTTCAGCCTATTCCTGCACAGACCTTGATTCGAGATTAGAGGCAGTTGTTGGGGAGCACCGCGCCGCACGTTTTGTTTTTCCCCCCTTTCCCAACAGATGCAGGAAGGATTTTCCCTCCCTCCTCCTCCTCCTCCCCCCCCCCCGCCTTCTGTGCCATAAGCAGCTGAATGGGACGGGGCCAGGCCGTTCAGGGTTTTCCTGTAAGTGATAAGGTTAGATGTTGGGGTTTTCTGAAGGACGGGGTCGGATTATTTATTTTTTATTTATTTATTTAATTTAATTTATATGCCGCCCTTCTCCCGGCGGGACTCAGGGCGGCGCACAACATATTTAAAACAAAGGCATATACAATCCCCCCCCTGTAAAACCGAATTAAACCAAATGTTAAAGTTGTGTATTTTCAAATTCCTTAAAATGAACCCAGTATAAAATCCTCCCTAGGCCAGGTCCGCTTGCTGAAAAAGCCATGTCTTGATTATAATCCCCCTTCCTTTTTTAAAAAAATATGGTTAGTTTCTCTCTCAGCCCTCCCTAAGAAAAGGTTGGTCAACCTGTCAGGAGGATTTAAACCACTGCTGCCAATCCACACACACACCCCCCCAAACCATCAGTGGTTACATCTTACACATCCTTACAAGGTTCTTACACAACCTTACATTGCTATGTTGGGTTCATGCTTAGGGAAAGGTTGCTCTTTGTCACGGGAATGCTGTGTCCTTCAGGCGTTTTGTAGAGAATTAAGATGGGGAAAATTGAGGTGTATGAGTTCTCTGGCCTTTCGTCTGGCACAATCCAGGGGTAATAATCTGAATATGCTTCAAAGAAAATATAATATGTATGGGGAAAGGCTAGAAAGAGGCACATTCTTGCTGCAATCCTACGTCTACTTTTTTATGAGTAAATCCCAATCCAGAAAGCCTTAGGAGTGAATATAGTTGGATTTCTATGTAACCGAAACAGGAAGTATTAGATCAGGCTGCATAGTTCATTCTGTACTCTCTGTATTTATTTATTTAAATATATAATTTGTTGCCTCCTGGAAACATGCTTGCAGCATGTTTTGCTGCTCATCTCAACATAAAACAATGTGACCTTGCTTTGGTGTTTTATCTTTCCCAACATTGGTAGGATTTTTAAAATAATGTTTATCAGCAATATGCTTTCTACGTTAGTTGGCTGTACTTTATTTTTTATATATAATAATCTGTAAAGATAGAATACTTATTTGCTTGGCTTAGGAAATTATTTTTCCTGAATTGCTCTTGATATGCAGAAGAAATCACATAGTTTTTAGAAAGAAGTATATCTAATTAAACATTTCTTAATATATCTTCCAATAAATAAGGGAGGGGCAGGATTTCTTGTATTACTAACCATAAGAAAAACTGCTTGAACATGAGAACATGAGTAAGAAATAAATGTTGACTGTGCATGGTGAAATTATAAAGTAATAGTTTAGATGAAATTTCTGTAGCATAAAGCATTTTGGTAAGGATGAGACAAACCTATTTGGTTAACTCCCACTGATTCTGTGATGATGGTATATTACAGTTGTCAAAAACAGGGATATTTAGAATTAATGAGTTTATAGAAGATGCAGATGATTGTAAATCTCTGGAATGGAAAACATTTTCAAGCATAATACATAATTGGGAAATATTTTTATTAGACTGAACCAAAATGTTGCAAAATATTTTTATGGTTTCAGATTTTTAAGAAAGCATGGGAAATTTTTGTAGCATTTTGATTGGTCTTAGTAAAGGTATTATCTAACTTATTTTTTTCTGATGAATCAGCATGGCTATCTTTTTGTTTGGGTGTATGTAAACTTAATGACTGTCATCACAGTCATTCAAGAATACTTCCTGATTTCATTCAGTAGATTGTTCTTTAGATTGCATTCAGTTAATAAGGCATGTCACTGGATGTAGTTTTATGAAAAATGCCATCTAGAAGTTTTTGCTTTCAAAGTGTTAGCTTGCAAGATGATCATAACATTATTAGAAAGCAGATGTAAAATGAAACCTAATCATCTTTACAGGCATTGTACAACTGAAGTGAACTTCCATTTTCTAAATACTGTATGATTTCTATATAATTGTGTTTCTTAACCTTTTTTTTTCTCAGATCCCCTTACTGCTTTTAAAAATTATGGGAAATCCCAAAAGAGCTTTTGGTTGTATTTATTGATATTTATTGATATTTATTATATTACAAATTAAAATAGACACCTTCATTGATGTCATCATTTCTCACAATTGTTTGATGGGGATTTTAATATTGTATTATTTTTCAACATAGGCTGGCAAATAATTTTGATGTTGAGGACTCCTGGGAGATTCTTGGGAGACCCCCAAAGTCCTAGGACCACACTTTAAGAAACATTGTTCTATTATATAAAGGTTTTAGCATTTTTATATTTTAATATTTTTCCAATATTTCTACTTTTTTAATATTTCTATATTTTATATCCACAAATTCATACATCAACTATAGTAATCTAATATCACAGTTACATTAATGAATGAATGCTTCAGATCTTTTAGGAAAAAATAATAGCAAGGAAAATAGTTTCCATAAATTTGGAACAGATGTCTCACCTATTTCTGTAGTGAAGTCCCCTCAATTATTGCCTTCTTTACTTTTTTTTAGTTTCAACCTGCACCATTGTTATTTAGTCTATACGTTGACTTACCAAGAGTAATGAAGTATCGTGAAGAACACATGCCTAAGGCATCATACACTATATACATTGTAATATCTTAGTGTACACTGGTAATATATTACTGTCATATTTACAAGTGGGATTCTGTAGGTTGTTAAGAAGACTTGGCTCCTATTGTTATAATCTCTAATTATTAATAAATCAAAGTAAAAAAATTAAGGGTTTTGGAAAACAACACCATAGCCATAGGTGGCTATTATATGATGAGCCAATAAAGCAAGTTAATACCTTTCCTTACCTAGGGGTAGTTTTTTCTGAGGCTGGATCTTGGCTCCTTCATCATCAAAGAAGCTCACTTAGAACAAGAGCAGGAGTGAATCTACTCCCTAAATTAAAAAAATAAACATAGTTATTCAGATTCCTTATCCCTAATTATTAATTTATATAAGTCCAGGGTCACTCCAGTGCTCTTATATTGAGCTGAAGTTTGGGGCTTAAAACAAACACCAATACTAGAACAAACGCTATAACAACATTTGAGAAGTATTTGGAGTTTGGATAAAGGACTTGAGCTGCCACAGTTAGAACTGAATTGGGAATTTATACAAATCTGGGGATACTAGGAAGGAATTATTATACATTTCTTGGTTTATAATAATGTGGATCCATAATAAAATATAAGTATTAATATGCTATATTTCCCCAACAATGTTTTCTCATACATATAGGGGGCAATAAGGTATGGGTTAGTGGAATGTTGAGTACTTCTCTTTTGTTTCTCAATTAATTTGTTTCAGTCACAAAATAGCAACTTACAATCACATGAACCCCACCTTATATAGTGACTACCATCTTACTAATATTGAGAAAAATTACTTGCATTTTCTGATACGGTAAAAAAATCAAATTCACCATGCTTTTTCACTTTTTTTCCTTACACTGCTTTTAAAAATATAGTTACTGTAGATGTATACTTATTCTCAAAGTGTTGTGATATGCTCTACTACTATGATAGTTGTTTTAGAATTATTAATCTTTTGCCTTTTGTTTTTTCAGTTTTCCCTATAGTTAATTTCAAATTATATCAATGAGAAATTTTTCTATATAACTTTTTTTTGAGTAAATATTTATTCAGAAAGTTAAGGTAAAAAAGAAAACAAAGTTTGACAAAACATTAAAAATGACAGAAAACAGAATGCGCATTAAAAGGATATAGAACAAAATCACATATACATATATTGTCCCCCCAGTTGAATGTTGATAAATATATTGCAACAATATTAGTTTCCTCCCCTTGTGAAGCATGCCCAAAATTTATAAACTTCAACAGCTATTTGCAACTAATTTGACCTGTCATCTATCTACTATATATAAAAGCAAAGTAGTTAACAGGTGAATCAACAGTAAAATTAAACTTAAAAGTCCTCTGTTAACAATTTATTTTTGTATTTAACTCATAGATAGTCTGCAGTGGCTTATCTACCATAAATCACCACAATCATTATCTCTGATCTGCCCAGGATCAAATGTCCTTATTTATTCTTAATAAGAAAAATTTTCCTTAAGATTTTGGTTGGAAATTTTTCCAACAATTGTATCTTATTCTCCTGAATCATAAACTTCTATTTTTGATCCATTTTCCCCCAAAAACTCCAGTCCAAATTGTTTTCCAGTTAAGTGTAGCAAGTCCATTTCCCAATCACCATCAATCTTCTTAAGAAAGTCCAGTTCATTATTCATTGATACTGTTAACTCCAAATCTGTAGAATCCATATCTCTTTCAGACTTCTTTAACAAACTTGCAGTTTCCAAACCAAGTTCCTTTGAAATCTGCCAAATGCAGTTTAGATTCCAATCCATCCATGATAAGACTAGCTAGGGTTTGGTTACAGGTGCTTAAGTTGGATATCCTCTTTAGGTTGATTTGAACTATTGTTATTTTATCAATTTTTTTAACCAAAGTTTTCAATTTGAACTTGTAGGTTAAAAAGCATTTTTCCTGAAGGCCTCCCGAAATGCTTTATCTTTAAATTGGTGCATTGTTTGCATTTTTAATATAATCCTGTAATTGAGCATTCACCACCAGACATAAACAGTTCCTTTCAAGGACAGGGAAGTTAGATATACTGTAACAAAGTAGCCACAGAAAATGTTGAGATAATATTTCTCA